TTTGAACTCAGCATCCAAAAACACGTCTAGCAGTGTAGGTCTCATTTCAAATGGCCACTTCGACTTGGGATCCTTCCCTGGTTAGTTGTGAAAGTGCATAAGCGACCCACCGTTAGGAAGATTCCGCTGCCAAAAATGGAGTCTGATCATGATGCAACACCAAACCAGAGCCATTCCAATCATAATCACTGCTGTTACGATGTAGATGATTTCGATGGCACCCTATAAAAGAAATGTAACCTTTGAACTCCGAGAATATGTGATTGCTCATTGTTATGCAGGCGTAGTGAAGAACTAGTCATGATCCAGTCGGATTGAAGATTTCACTATGAGCTCCGTTCTTGTGCCCCGAGCTTTCTGCTCAAATAGCACTTTCCTTAATCCCTACAGAGGAGCGGCGTCGCCAACAGGTGTGATATGAGCGTGCTTTGTCTAGCAAGGGGGTAAACTACTCGATAAGGAACTTTAGAAGTGAAGATCTCAAAAAGCAAATCCTTTTAGCCTCAAGGGAATGGAGGAACCTCATGAGTCAGACCTAAAGTTGAAGAGTTGAGCAAAAGGATGAAAGAGGAAGCGAGGAGACATCTATGAAGCAATCGGGTATTGTTGAGGTTTTTTGCCCCTGTTCTGTAGACCTACTATCGATGGCTGTGCCCACATGTAGGGGAAATAGGCCCATGATAACAAATAAGATTCTCCGAGCTCCGAAAAATAAGCATAAGTTGGTCGTTCAGAACCAGGTAGGATAGCTTGTCGGAGCTGACGGAACTATCAAAGTTCAAGGGAACTGTCGTGCGAATTAGAGAGTATTACAGATGGTTCGAGAATCGAAAAGATAACCACTAGTGGGCTCAGAGCGTCAGACAATCTCCCAATTAAGGCGTAACTTTCCTTTCAGGCGTACCGGATATAGAAAATAGCTCACAATCTCTCCTCTCGAGTGTCCAGGGAAGATAAAAAACATATCGTCTGCCGCTCAGATGGCTTGCTAGTAGGAAAATGAAACACCACAGATCGAATGTAGTCGTTTTGAGAAAGACCTTTAGGGATAGTGAATCAGAGTTACATATTGTAAACAGTCGTTTCACTACCAAACTAGTTTTTTTAGAGTAAGAGAGCAAGTTGAAATTCTACTGAGAGCGACGTTCTTCCCTCCAGGGAACCTGCCAATAGTAAGCGTTCAGGTTATTTCAAGATAGTTTCTTTGGGGTCTTATCTAGCTCTTGAGGGTAGTAGGCGGTTTATCCTCTACCAGTGTCGAAGTACTGCCATTACAGTACAGTAGAGATCACAATTTGAATCATCCACCTCACTTCATATTACTCACTTCACTACGCAGTGCTCACTTTACTCCATTAGCCTACCCACAAAGTGACTGCTTTTTATATAAGAAGAATAAGTTTTCCATATCACTACCTTTATCATAATCACAAAGTAACCCGGACGGACAGACCGACAAACCGACATACCGACATACAGACAAACCGACATACCGACAAACCGACAAACCAAGTTACTGCTTTATATATAAGAAGGATTTTCTAGACTTACTTGTGAATGGTTCTCTATCTTAACAGCATTCGCATCGCCCTGCTTATGCCATTGTATCTGTACCTCCATTCAATCCTTGGCTAAATCGGGATTCCCGGCTGACTGTGGCACTATTCGTTCCACCATGGAAGATGCCACTTTTTTGAGCGCGAATTTTTCAATGGACCTACGGCCCAGAAACGGCATGGAATGGGATCAGGGTAACTGTAAACAAGGCAGTGGCAGTGGTGGGGCTGGTGTGGACTAGGTATATCAGTTGTTCTTCATACCAACGCTTATCAATTATTTATTTATTTATTTGTTTATTTATTTATGCACTCGTAGGTGCGCTTATTACAGAACTTCACTAGTTAGATAACCTAGTTAGATAACGTAACATACTTACTGCAGAAGCAAACACAGATGAAGGTAGACAACCAGCATTATGATATAGCATGGTGGGTACTCTTAAAAAACAAATAACAACTAATGTCTATTAGACCACCTAGTCGGAAGCACACTTGGGTATTAGTTATTTATTTATTTACTCAGCTTCCACGCAACGGTTTCGAACAGTGGCGAAAAGGCGGAAGGTGAGCTATCGATTCAGCGTAGTGGAGAAGAAGAGCAAAAACTATGCAT